CCCATACCCACCCAACTTTTTCTCTTTTTAATACATTTGATTTGCCATTAAGCTGCCTACATCACTGTCTTACACGTTAAAATCCTATACACAGAGTTGACCTGTCCCGATGTGTATATATATATATATATATATATATATATATATATATATATATATATATATATATATATATATATATATATATATATATATATATATATATATATATATATATATATATATATAGTGGAAGGGTAGTCTTAGCCGACTAGTTAACAATAGAACCAGAAATTTTGAATTGGGGAGTAACGGCCTTGTCGTAAGGGCAAAATTTAATGAAAACTCATTTATTACTACTGCCAAGCTTTCGAAAAGTCTTTATTTTCTTCTTCAAGGCTACAATATGGAGACAGATATTAACTTTAAGTTGAAATACATATTAATAAAAAATATATTACCTTGTGTGCAATGCGAGTTTGAAAAGAAAAATTTTTTCTGTTGTGGAAGAAAAAAATTTTTTCTGTTGTGTAAAGATAGCTATATTAAGCACAAGGTAATATATTTTTTATTAATATGTATTTCAACTTAAAGTTAATATCTGTCTCCATAAAAGAAAGACTTTCAGCAAATGAGAGTTTTCTAAATTTGCCCTTACTAATGACAATAAAGACTCTCTTATATATATATATATATATATATATATATATATATATATATATATATATATATATATATATATATATATATATATATATATATATATATATATATATATATATATATATATATATATATATATATATATATATATATATATATATATATATATATATATATATATTTTTTGGCTGGAATTAGAAAAATACACAGCTAAATATGAAATGAACCGCCGTATCGGTGAGAACCAGCCCCTGGACAGCCCACCTGATGAAGGGTAGGCCCAGAAACCCGGTTGTGGGAGTGGAGCTTGGTTCCCCCCTTTACGACAAACAAAACAATTTTCTTTTTACTTTTTATTTTTTTTTATTTTTCTCTACTTTCGATTTTTCGAAATTAGAAAAAAATACAGCTAAAACAGAAAATATTATTTATTATTATATATATATATATATATATATATATATATATATATATATATATATATATATATATATATATATATATATATATATATATATATATATATATATATATATATATATATATATATATATATATATATATATATATATATATATATATATATTTTTTTAAATTTCAATCTAGAGTGCCATGACCAGGGGCGGATACAGAAATTTATTTTAGGGGGTCATTTTTAACCCAAAAGCCTAATATTAAACAATTTATAGATTTTAGAGGGGGCCAAGGCCCCATGGCCCCCACTCTATATCCACCACTAGCCATGACTATGTTAAAAATACTAATTTTTAATCAAGGAGCCTTGGAAAATAGATTTGATCGTCTAATGTTTTTCGTGTCTTGACCTGGCCGGTTAAAAGATGCCCAAATTATATTTTTAATCATATCTCAAATTTTTCAAATGAAACGAGGGTGGCTCATTAGCAAATTTGGGAAAAGCATTTTTTACGAAAAATTTGGTACCACACACTTGGTGTTTCGAAGCAAAATGTCTTTCTAAACCGCATGTTACAATTTCAAATAAACCATAATATGCGAAAGTGCCAAAAGTTGACATATTCAGAGCGTCATTTTCTATCGAATAAAGTAAAAAACAGCGTGGGTGCCATTTAAAAATCAAAAGTTAGTAGTATTTCAGTAGTTATATCCAGTGAAACAAGAAGTGATCGAAAACGATTGAATACGCCAATAAATCCTAATTTATGTCATATACTAACATACCACATCTCGTTTTTTATCTGAAAAAATAAAAAAGTTATAGGGGTGAGCCACTTTTGAGACGCACCCGGTATAGTCATTAATATTAGAAATAAACAAATGGAAAATAAGTTTAAAACGAAAACAAGCGGTTAAAAATGTATTAATATGTAATGTAGTGGGCCCGAATTTTGTAACTTAGAAAACACTAAACACTTCTAGAAGCTCAGCGTAACCGTTAATTTTCGCTTATCGCGCACTTAATTACCAACTTGGGTATTCTCATCTGATGCGCTTAGCGTCTTTACCTATTGCGCTAAGCGATTTCAAAACTGTCAGTAAAAATATAAAAAGTTGAGATTTTGTGTGTTCTCTTGCCCTCTAGTGAAAACTATTTCTTTTTCTGTAAATTCCTCAATAAGTGATTGATAATTTACGACTTGGCAGCTATAAATATTGTTCAAAACATCGAAAATGCTGAGAAGGGTCTTCAACATTCCACTCGTATAATAAGAATAATAACATATCCATAGAAAAATAAGTTGACATAACTCAACTGATAATTATCCGTTAATCGTTTTTCTTATACGCGGTACCTCAGATCAATTCAAAATATTGTCAAGGTGTATGTGGCACTAAACTGTATTGCTGGTTGCCTACATTGTTGCAACGTGTCTTGTGAAAGACGTTTTTGTTGAAGCGCCATCTCTTAGCTAAGTGCAAAAGCGAATCGGGCAGCGGTGGAATTTTCCAGTAGGAAGTAGAACGCTCTCTGAGAATTTTAGAAGGTTCGAGAAACAGTCAGTAGAGTATATCACTGTTCGGTTTTAATATGATTCAAAATAAAAAATATATAAATTGTAAAATTAGTAATTTTTTAATGGCCATAATGCGTTCTCTCAAAATCATCAAACAACTAAATCATTTCCATAGATCCAGTGACGTACCGTGACTTTGAATTTTGAGACCAAAAACTCAAACAATAATTTGTCAAAAAAATCATATTACAGTTTTATGTTTTATTTTGCATAAACATGTTAAGTAATAAGTTAGAATAATTATAATTCTTCCCTAACTAAGTGGTTTTATCGCTAAATTTAACTAAAGCTAAGTACAACACAAATCTTAAATACGTGGACTATTATAGAACAACCAAACCAAAACAAATACATCGTAAAAGACTATTTTGGTAGCATTCTGAACGAGAATTCAAGTTAAACTTTTTAGAAAACAGTTTAAAGGAAAAATGTTAATTCAGTTAATATTAATTTTTGTATACTGCTCAGATTTATCTGGTCTTGTATCATATATTTTGGAAATTAGAGAATTATCTGAAGATTTTCATGTAAAAATTGGCATTGATAGTGGTGGTGGATCACTTAAAGTTTGTCTGAATGTGCTCCCTGAAAACGATCCCGAATATTTCAAGAAATGTAAATGTGCTGGAATTAATAAACTATTCATAATTGGCTTAGGACTAAAGTTGTCTGAATCTTATGCTAACATTAAAAGCCTCTTTGAGACGTTAGATCTGCCGTCCATATGTGGAATTGGTTCCTATACTTTTGCCGCTGACTTTAAGCTTATTATGATTCTCCTTGGTCTTCAGTCAAATTCATCCACTCACACTTGCCCATGGTATGATGTAAATGTAAAGGAAATGGAAATTAAAGGATCATTCAGAACTATAAAAAGTATTACAGAGAATACAAATTTATGGCAACAATCTGGAGGAAATACAACAAAAGCCAAAGATTTTAGTAAGCGTTTTTGTTTGAAATATTTTTTTTGTATTTTTTAAACTGTTTTCCAATGAACCATATAAAAAAAGGGCAATTATTTTTTAGAAAACTGTATAAACATACCTTTAATCATTGGCGACGAAGAAACACCTGTCTTAAAGTATATTCCTTCTCCTGAGCTTCACCTTTTGTTAGATGTGGTTCAAAAACTATTTGATTGTCTTGAATTGGAGAATACCAATGTTGCAACAGAATGGATAAAAAAAAGCGGGATTGAAACTAGATCATTATGGAAAATGTAACGGAAATAACTCCAGACAACTTTTAAAGAAAGTGGATATTTTAAAGACGATATCGCCCGGTAAAGAATCCTATTCAAAGTTTTGACAAGCAAAAACCTAAACACCTTTTTTTTAGGAAATAAATATATTGCAGTGTTTTCTGCATTCAATCAAGTAGTTTCGAGTTGTTTTGGTCAAGCACTAAACAAACATTTTGTACATGACATCGAACAATTTAGATTGGAAATACTCAACTTAGGTATTAAGATAACTCCAAAGATTCATGCCATTCTGCATCATGTGCCAGAGTTTATAAAAGCAAATCATAGAGCTCTAGGATTTTACTCGGAACAAGCATCTGAGCAGGTTCATTTTTCCTTTAAATTATTTCCTAAAAAGTTTAACTTGAATCCTCGTACAGAATGCTACCAAAATAGTCTTTTACGATGTATTTGTTGTTATAATAGTCCACGTATTTAAGATTTGTGTTGTACTTAGCTTTAGTTAAATTTAGCGATAAAACCACTTAGTTAGGAAAGAAATATAATTATTCTAACTCATTAGTTAACATTTTTATACAAAATAAAACATATACCGTACGATCGAGAAAAAACGGCGTCAGCGATGGCTATGGAATGAAGATCGCTGTCATTTTATATGTAAATTTATATGGGAAATGTCATCGATGTTCATTTCCCAGCCAACTGGACGCCATTTTTTTCGATCATACGGTAGCTGTAATATGATTTTTTTGACAAATTATTAAGTCACGGTACGTCACTGGATCTATGGAAATTATTTAGTTGTTCGATGATTTTGAAAGAACGCATTATGGCCATTAAAAAATTACTAATTTCACAATTTATATATTTTTTATTTTGAATCATATAAAAACCGAACAGTGATATAAGCCCGCGTAATCGGCAATTGGGACAGTTTTTGAAGTTTCAATATACCGCGTTTGGAAATTGTGAATCGGACAATTTGGTGAAGGAATTTGATAAATAGTTACTTGTGTGTTTAATTAGTATAAATTGTGTGTAAATAGTAAATTTAGAAGAAAAATTAATTTGTTAATTATTTTATCGTGAGTTTAAATTAGTGGACCCACGGAATCCGTAACAATATTATTTTTTGAGATTATAAGGATCACACTTACTTTACGAAACCAATGTACGGTGTGTTTGCCTCCTTGACGAGGTGATATCTTTGCTGTTCCACTGTTCATCTATGCGGAGACTTCACCATTTTTGTATATCTAGGAAATAAAATCAAACATTATCTAACATTATGGAGACTTTTAGCCTTTTCTTAATATTTCCTGAAATTTTTAAATTAGCGTTTTATAGATGTTTATAGTATAATACAGGGTGTCCCAGAAATAAGTGCAAGTATTTTAACTGGTAGTACGAGCCCTAACAACTATATGTTGGGACAAGGTCTTTTTTTTGCAATAAAAATAGTAATTTGTTAAAACGACTCAATTTATTTTGTTTATTATTCTAAATTCAAACATTACAATATGATCTAGACAATTTTACTATATTTTTATAACTTTGCATCAAATCACTTTTGATAATAGCTTATTTTGCCAAAATCAAGCCAAATTTGCTGACAACTATATATTGGAACAGCACAACAAGAAATTTGTTTAATACGGAGTTAAATCACCTTTCGCCTTAACAACTGCCTGAACTCTTAATGGCATTGTATTTACCTTTACCAAAGATTGGCACATTTGAGGAGAAAAATTATCCCAAATTTCCTGCAGTTTTTCAAAAATTGTTCGTTGAGGTTGGTTTCTTAAATATTGCTTCATTTTATGCCACACAGTTTCTATAAGATTGAGGTCCGGACTACTTGCTGGATGGGTTAGGGGGGGGGGGTAACTTTTATATTATTATTACCGAACCAATTTTTTGTTGATTTTGCTGAATGGCAGGATGCTCCATCTTGTTGGAAAATATTGTCTTCGTTTGGAAACAATTCTTAAGCACTAGGCAAAAATGAGGTCTCAAGTATATGTTGATATTTTTGGGCGTTAACAGTGCTATCTATAAAATTTACTTTGCCAAAACCTCTTGTTGACACGCAACCCCGAACCATAATCCCCTTAGGAAATTTAACAACCCTCTTTAAGCAATCTTTATGAAAGGCTTCTGCTTTATTTCGTATTTTTCGTTTTCGATGATCTCCAACGCAAACATCAAATTTACTGACTCATCGCTAAATATGACCTTACTCCAATCATTTTTTGTCCACGATAATGTAGATTTTGCCCAATTGTAGCGATTTTTCTTTTGAATTTCTGTCAGTAGCGGTTTTTCTTTGGTCTAAATAAGAATTTGTATCAATAATCTTCAGATAATTGATTATCCACACAAAATAAAGTTTACCTTGTAAAACCCCAGACCGCATTTATGGATATATTTTCGGCAACATGCTCTTGATATATTTAAACCAGTTACAGTATTCCATTTAACTGTTACTTCGCGAAGAGTGCTTCTTCTCGCAGACTTGCAATATTTTACTAAATTTCGTAAATCTCTCTGAGATACAACTTTTGGCCTTCCCGAACTTTTACCTCTAACGTCTACATTGACAGATTTGCCGTATTTTTTTTATTATATTAAAGATCGTGGTTTTTGGAATACTTAAATCATCAGAAATATTTCGAATTGTTTTTCCCGTACTGTATTGAAGAATTATAATTTCGCGTAGTTTTTGATTTGTAGCTTTTCCAGGGACCATTATTTTAAATTAAATTAACAAAATTGAAAATTAAAAAAATTAAAATTACTTACAGTAAACCTCACTACTCAAAGTATCGAGTCACTTACAAGCTGTCAATGCTGAAGTAAACTGTTTGCGACATTTGTGACGTTTATAGCAAAGCCGCCTGTGATGATATTAATTATTTAAAAATACTTGTCCCAACATTTATTGTCAGCAAATTTGTCCTTTTATGAACAAAATCCGCTACTGTAAATATGGATTGATTTATAAATTCATAAAAATATTGTCAAGTTGTTTAGGATATATGGCTATGTTTATATTTAAAAAATTAAACATATATTTTTCATTCATTTTGGTCATTTGAAAAACCAGGGCAATAATTCCAAAATATGATCTTGTCCCAACATATAGTTGTTAGGGCTCGTATAGTTGAACTCTTGAAACACGCCTATGAGGTTTTTTTCGCGAAAATTGTTTTTTGAAAATTCGAAATTTTTTGAAAAATTTTTTGGAATTTTTTTAGTTTTTAGTTAAAAAACATAATTACTTGATAATATGGCAACATAGATATTAGATTAAATTTACAAGAAAGAAAATCCAGAAAAGATCCAGTGGATTCAAAATTTTAGCTAAAAATCATTTTTTTGGAAATTTTCAAAGTAAAATAACGCCGTTATTTTTGACTTATTTGAAAAATAATAAAGAGAAAATATGTTTCTTTTATCGAGATCTACCACCCCTTAAAATACTTGCACTTATTTCTGGGACACCTTGTATATGTGCAGGGTGTCCCCATTAGCGTAACTAGCAATTCTTCCTGGGCGGGCCTAGGGTTGAACCCAGGAGGGGGCTAGGGATTTGCTTTTTTAAAAAATGAAGAATAAATCATTAAAAATAAACACATTTTTTAAATAAAACGTTTACATGACAAAATAATTCTCTTAAATAAACAGACGCCACTGTATTCTACATAAAAAGTCTACAAGAAACAGTTTTCATCTTTTCGATACCTTTCCAGTGGTGACGCTAGAACTTTTTTTTTGGGGGGGGGGAGGACTAGCAATTTTCCCAACTTCCTACTTTTTTTAGAGGCCATAATACCTGTAATAACGTATCGTGATAGGAATAAAACCCTTGTTTTAAAAAAATTGTTTTATTAATTTAAAATTTAAATTTAACATTATTGAACATTATAACATGCATAAATAATTATTGTTATGAACTCTAAAATTAAAATAAAATCGTACCATCCTTAATATTTTATTTAATAACTAGCGTGTACCAGCGACTTCGTTCGCGTCGAATTAATCATTTGTAATGGTGATGATAAAGCAAAGCAAGAATTTCCATTAACATACAAACTGGATAAAATTTTCTCACATTTATATCAGCATGAGAAAAAACAATATAGCGATATTATTATATAACTTGGTAATATTTGAGGGATTGTTTCATCTCGTTAGAATTTGACTTTCGAAAAATCCATTTGCCAAAAATAAGCTTTTTACGTCAAGCCGTTTAAGCAGAACCGTGGTTAAGAAATTACCCAACTTTTTGGAACACCCTGTATTATTTTTTAAAAAATGTCAAAATATGTAAAAAAACCAAATAAATTATGCTTGTCCAAGCGTTTTTCAGAAAGACCGTTTTTTTAAATAACAAATATTGCAAAATTTGAGGGGCGTTTTCACCCTCTTGGAATTTAAGTTTCGAGAAACCCCTCCTTAACGAACCTCTACACTCCACAGTCAATCCGTTTGCCAAAAATCATCTATAAACGTCAAGCAGTTTAAGCAGAATCGTGATTACTCAATGGTCATATTTTATGAAACACCCTGAATAAATTTATAAAAAATCTTAAAATATGTAAAACAACAAAATAAAATATACGTGTTTAAGAGTTTTTCCGAAAAACTCACCGGTTTTTAAATAAAAAATATTTTAATATTTGAGGGATAGTTTCACCCCCTTAGAATTCGAGTTTCGAAAAATCCCTTCTTATCGAACCTCTACACCCTAAAGTCAATCTGTTTTCCAAAAATCAGCTTTTTACGTCAAGCGCTTTAAGCAGGATCGTGATTAATCAATGACCAGATTTTTCGAAACACCCTGTAGATATTTTTAAAAAATCTTAAAATATGTAAAAAAACAAAATAAAATATACGTGTTTAAGCGTTTTTTCGGAAACTTGACCGTTTCTTAAATAAGAAATATTGTAATATTTGAGGGGTGGTTTGACCCTCTTGGAACTGGAATTTCGAAAAATCCCTTCTTATCGAACCTCTACACCCTAGAATCAACCTGTATGCCAAAATTGAGCTTCTTAACGTTGAGTGGTTTGAGCAGGATCGTGATTAATCAGTATGTCAGTCACTTAAGGATTTTATACATATGTATATTAGTATAGACTAGTCGTCTGGTCTTCAAAGTTGCCCAAATTGTTATTATTTTTTGTAAATCTAAGTTGATGGCAATATCTGCTTCACATTAGTGCAGCGGCAATTTTTTTTTATTTTTGACAAATTTAATAATACATTCATTTATCGCTGTATGAAATACTATATTGTTTTATTAGAAGTAAAAATAATACTTTTTGTGGCTAGACTGTACAGGGTGTCCCACTAAGAATAGCTCTCGGCTGTATCTCGGAAAGTAATAGTCCTAGAGCTTGCGGAAAAAAATATTTATAACTAAAGAGAACATGACAAATTGCTGGAAATTATTTTGAAGTCTGTAGAGAGGCTGCTAGAGGGCGCAACTGCTATTAAAAATAAGAAAAAGGAGTTTTTACACAATTTTGCCTAGATAACGGATGCTACAAATAATAGATTCATAATCTTCAGTAAACTTTGCATATTTTTTGTTAGAACCATTTTCCCCTATCTGCGAAAATAAAGTGATGGGGGAAAGTTAGATCTATTTTTATTTAAACATTAATAACTCCGGACTGGATGAATGGAATCTAACCAACTGGAGCTCGTTTAAAAGAGCGTTTCTTACTCTATATTACAGCGTATAAACAATAATAATAAGCTTTTGAATGTAGGCGCTAGGGGGCGCTGTCTTACAAATTAACAAACATTGAGCGTTTTTTCAAAGAAATTAAATGCGATATTATATATAATTTTAGCTGATAGTAAAGAGTAATAAAAGTTTAAAAAGTCAACGAAAATTGCATCTTGATATCCTCTTTCAAACCGAAGATATTAGCAAAATTATAATAAATACGAAAAAAAAGCCCTTAATTAACTTAGTTTTTTAACACGGTTACAGTAGCCCTCTTGATTATGACCTTTCTAATAAAAAAAATAAGATAGAAACGATTAGTTTATTCTAAAATCGACAATATACCAGAATACGATAATACCAGATATATTAATATCTAATAATTAAGATATTAATAATAGTGAACAAGAAACGATGATTCAGTGAAGTCATGGTAGACTTTGGAAAAAAGATGCTTTTGACGTAATAGTATACCCAAGTAGCATTTTCACGACTTGCAACC